TTTTGGATCAAGGAAAGGCTTTATCTTTCCAGGGTTTGCCCCCCCCCCCACCCTTTCCATCATAGTGAATTGATCCTCACCTCTGTGACAGTCTGAGAGCTTGGGGCCTGCAGGGGATTTGCAAAATGACAGTCTCGTCAGGAAAACAAAGCCCAACCCCGGATTTTGCAGGATCGCCCAAGAATTGAGATCCATGGTTCAAAACACACAGGTGGGGTGGCAATCCCAGGATGGAATCCAAAATAAATGGGGGCGAACTAACATGGAATTTAGTTGTGTGGCAAGCAAGTAAGCGAACATTTTTTTTCTTCTCTCTCCCCCCTTTCTGTAAGGCAGCATTTCTCAACCTTGGCCACTTTAAGATATGGGCAGCATTTCTCAACCTTGGCCACTTTAAGATATGGGCAGCATTTCTCAACCTTGGCCACTTTAAGATATGGGGTATTCTGGGAGTTGAAGTCCACATATCTTAAAGTGGCCAAGGTTGAGAAATGCTGCGGTAAGGGGGAAAAGGCTACAAAAAGGAGGCATGTAGAAAATGTTTTTGGCTCCCCATGCAGAATAATTCTGGGCGGCTAACAACCACTTCACCAGGGAAACACAATGCAATGAGACCCCCATAAACCCAATAAACCAAGCCCCTGTGTAACTACGTGGCAAGAGAAGGACGCCCATACTGGGCTCCACCAACATCCTGGCCCTATTGCCCGGGGGAACAGCCAGGTCTTGCGGCCCTCTGGATCTGGGGGAGGGGGGAAGCTGTTCAGCGGGGCAGGTGCCAAGACAGAGAAGGACGTTCCCACCACAGGGTTCGCAGGCACGCCAACCCTGCAGAGACAGCTGCTCTTCGATACGAAGAGACCCGACCCAGAAGGCTTTGCCTATTGCCTTCGAAAGACCCTGGCACCCGAACCGCTTCTCTGCCAGAGCTCTCCATGACAAGCGCCCTGGGCCCTTTTCACACGTTACAAAGCTGCCCCAACCTCCCTTCCGAGGCAAGCTTGGGGACCGGTCACCAGAGGTCTCCACGCAAGCTGGGCCCTCCTTTAGTGCAAAGGCGCCTTCGAAGACTCTGGCCCGGGGCTGCAAGGCCAGAACGCGCAGGCTTATTTGCGATCATGCAGACGTGACTTCTCGCCCTGGTCTCCCATCCAAGGCGTGCCAGGCCTCGACTCTGCTTAGCTTCCGAGCCCAGGGCTTAAGCAAACAGGAATAGCCAGAAATAAGAGGGCGTGCACCTGCGCTTCGATCCAGAAGCGCCCCTTCCTCGTTCTAACAAAGGGGTCCGGCCGCGGCTGAGCGCGGCTGCTGTTGCACACAGCCGGGAACCCCCCCTTCCAAACCACCCGCAAAAAGCTCCCCCCGGAAACGCCCTGGGGGGGCGCCGCCCGCCGACCCTCACCTGCCCGGCGGTGCGGAGACGCAGCGAGGCGCGCAGGGCCGAGAC